AGATTACATTGCAAGAGTAGCAATGATAACATTAGCAACAGCGGAGGCTACATGGTTTGGAGTCTAATAAAAAAAGTGTTAATGCTGATGCTTTTATCCCAATTCCATCATGTTCGTAATGGGTATCTGTCGGCTTTTGGCAACACGTGCTTTTAGGCACGTATGCTCGAGACGTTAGTGTGTCCTGCTATGCCATGCAGTTGAACTCACCGAAATCTTGAGCCATGTAGTGTACCACCTCTCCAGAGTCCTAATAGTGTGACATGAAACAGTCCTTAAACCTAGAAATCTAGACCAACCGTAGAAAATGGATTTTGCTTTGCAGGTTGGTCTAGTCATGCTCCACTGTAGCCTCAGCAGGTCTACCTTTGGTCTTGCTAATAAGAGTGGTCTACGTTTTTTGGGTGGGCCTAAACACTAGAGCTGTGATGCAGAAAAACTTCGAAGATGGCGTTCACTTAAATGCAACGCTCATTTGAAACAGCTTTGGCATCAACTTTGGACGATTTAGACTTGAGCCTTTCTTTGAGACGTGAGTAGAAAGAGGTACTTAGCTCATTCGCTGCCAGTGACGACTAAAGTCGTCATTTGCATTTTTTTACTGTTTGGGTATTGGAACGAGCCCCCGCGCTGAGAGAACAAACATTTCAGCTCTGAAGCCGGTCTTCATCCGCATAAGTCACACGTCACATGATCAGGAAGCAGAAAATCCTTGTGTTAGGAGATCGTTTTGGGCCGTTCCTGTAAAAAAAAAAAAGTGAGGCGCGAACCGGAAAAGCGTCTGCCGATCACAATTCGACAGAGGATAATGTAAGAACGGATAACGCTCGAAACACACACATTCTTCCTGATGTAAGAGGTGAGTCTCCTCTTTGTTTTGGTTGTTTTGGTGTCTACATCACCCTAGCGCGCAACTTTCTGTCACTCTTAAAAAAACAGTAAAAACGGTGAAAACGCTGGCAGCAAAGGCCTTTAGCGATCAGGAAACGGCTGGCAGGAGTGAATTAGTTAAGTCAATTTTTTAAAAAAGGATGTACCTGCTTCTTCTTCTACTTTTTCTTCTATGTTGTATGAAAGACTGCAGATTTTAAAGCTAATTCTGTACGTAACAGGGAGCCAATGAAGGGACGCCAAGAGAGGAGTAATATAAAAGGTGCTTCTTCAATGCTGTGTGGCGGACTGCCCCGTTGACTGGATGCCATAGTGGTGAATATGTCACGTTGTTTATTTCTCCCGATTGGTCCTAGCACTGTCCAATAGTGTACAGAGACCGTTTGAAAGACAACTGTAGATTCCACTCCATGACTGGTTATTTCAGTGGTTTTAAGCCAGAAATATATTTAAATAAATAGCATGTCTTGCCAGGCTAGCAGTCCTTTGCGACAGCCAAAAAACGCATAGTGTGTATCGGGTTTAATTTACCCTAATTTCCCTAAAAACATGAAATCATCATTTGAAACCTGCATTTTGTATTTGCTCAGGTTGTATAAATCTAATACAAAAAATGCGTTACGGTTTAACAAAAAAGGCAAAACTGAAGAAATTTAGGGGGCAATTTACTTTTTCACTACACGGTAAATTGAACGTTTGAGAGTTTTCTTGTGTTCGTTAAACAAAAGTGATTTGAATCCTTCTCCTGCTCTAGCTTGTGTGGGTGTAGCAGGGTGAAACCAGTCAAGAGCATTTCCAATAAAGCCCGAGGCTATAAGCTGGCCTTTAAGCTTCCCTTAAAAATAATTGAGACTGTGTAACAGAAAAAAGTGTAATGATAGCAGCGTCTAATAAAAGGACAACGTATAAGCACAGAGGTTCATTACCTGCTGACCAGCAGAAGTTGGTGATTCCAAGAACAAGGCAGAAGCCGAGCGGGGATAGGTCCTTTTCCGCTGCCGCACCTGGACTTTGGAACCAGCTTCCAGGCAATACTAGACAGGCATCTTCTCTGGTCATTTTTAAGTCGCTCTTCAAGACTCACTGCTATTCACTGGCTTTTAACACTGACTGATTATTCTTATCCACTCCTGTTTTTAAGCAGTGTTGTGTTTTCTTTACTTTACTATGTTTTAATATATTATCCATGTTTTTAATGATGTCGGTATGTTTTTATCTGTGTGTGAAGCACTTTGACCGACAGTGTTGTGTATAAAGTGCTATACAAAATAAAGGTGGATTGGATTGGATTGGAAACTAGTGTTTAATTTGAAATGTAACTCAGATGTTGAAGTTATTCATTCTAAATACATCACGAGGAAATTTGATGGGTCTTTTCTGGCTTTTTGTAGGCTAAACAACAATTCACAAATCCACCATAATGACAATAATTGTTGAATCACCATATTTAGAGTAAAATAACACAAGTAGATTAAAAGCAAACAGCAGGAATCACATCTAACCAACAACTGGAACAGCCAATTCTGTCTGAACCATTGGCAGAAGTGTGTGATGATAAATGATGAAAGAGCGGGAGCAGCGGCATCTGGACACTTTTGAACAAGACATTTAGTGTGGGGGGGACCTGTTTCCATAAAGACCAACCATTAGCCTTCTGGGGCTCCAAGAAAACACACACACGCATTAAAAGTACATCCCACACGGTCAAAACAACAGGAGGTTATTAATGGTCAGGTGCTGCTGCCGTTCTGCTTCAAGCATTTCTCCAGCAAACTGTGTCCCACAAGGAGCCATAATCATCTGCCGCTCCACGGCAATCATTTACAGCAGCACCAGCTGCCCAATATCCTCTGGTCAAACTGAATCCACAATCTCGTAATAGTCTCCTGCGCGTTGTCTCAGCTGATTTAAGTCTCTGCAGCAGCGACAGACCTTCAATCTGTTGGTTTTATCATCCGAATGGAACAGCAGACTGCAAGGAGAAGTCTCTAATGGGGGGAATCAAGGGGAGGGTGGGGATCAGGTTGCCATAAATCTCCCTCTCAGTAACCTCTTGCAGAAGGCACACGAGAGCGGCATGTGATGGATATCTGCACCGGGGTGAGGGGTATTAACATGTCTGTGGGGACAGAGAAAAATGGAGCAGTCTGAACATGAAAGTCTAAAGGTAAAAAGATAAAAAGGTGGGAAAAGCGAAGAAATTCATGAACAAAACTAGCAAACTAAAGAAAATTAGATTTTAATGATGTATTAAATCTGTTTTTATCCAAGCTGCTCGGTGTTCACACGCAACTCAAGGCAGGTCCTCCCTGGGTCACGTGGTGAAATAACAGCTCTCCCTACAGCGGATGGTCTTTCTTCAGACTCAATTTAAAAACATCATTACCGTATACGGCAGTTTCCATGAGCCAGTGAATAAAGTAGAATACCTTCTTCGTGCCTTTAATGGCAACCAAATGTGGTACAATGGATCCAACGATATATTCTGCTCCAGTAATGTATTCATATTTCCCTCATCCAGCGATGATGAACAATTTAGTGCCACTCTCGTCCCGGCTCACATGGCCTGCAAATCAATGTCCATTAAAGTGACTGAGCATTCGTATGTCACTGCGTCGTCTTTCCATTAACGCTGCTTCTGCACAGATTGCAGGCTCTTCCACTGATTGTGGCGTTCAAAACATCCCAACTGCAGCGTATGAAATGTGCATGCTCCACGAGGCTGCTGCAGGCAGATGCTCATTATGGTGACACGCTGACCTCCAGTGATTTCACAGCGTTATGATAATGAACCGGGCCGCTTGTGCTGCGTAGTTGTTGGAGGCTGTTTTAAACCATTATTTATCCAGTGCCTCCGATTTGGTTTCATCTGACCAGGTGAGGCTTACTAGTCAAAGCTTTACACCTGGACACTGTAACCACCAAGAATAGACCGACAAATCGAGCAGAAATGTATCATTTTTTCATATTTCGGAATCGATCGATATGCCTCTTTAGTGAAGCTGATTTAAAGTCAGGCAGCCAGGCACTGCGCCAGAATTATATATATATATATATATATATATATATATATATATATATATATATGTATGTGTATGTATATATGTATATATATGTATATATATATATATATATATATATATATATATATATATATATATATGTATATATTTGTATGTATGTATGTGTATGTGTATATATATATATACATATATACATATGTATATATATATATATATATATATATATATATATGTGTATGTATGTGTATGTATGTATGTTGTTCAAACACTTTTGAATTTTTATATAAGCTGTAGATACTCAAGTTGTGTAAAAATTAATGTGAAAATTTTTAACATGTATTCTCACATGGAAAGGAAAAGTAGACACTTGATATTATTAACATTAGTAACGCTGTTGAAGAGTAATTGTGTTTCATTTGTGTTTCATTGTATTCAGGCATTGGTCAGGTTGTAGCAATATTGACTCTTGTTCTATTGTCATGGAATGTATTTTTGTTATGTGAAATTGTTGTAGTGGCATCTTTAAGTTGTTCTTTATTTTTCATTAACATTGCCATGAAAATAGAATAAATGTTCTAATAAATAAAAAAATAAACAGGGATGGGAATTTAACACGTTACGTACAAAAAATGTATAAAAAAACATGTCAACAACTGAGTGCTGCCCACTTGGGTGCTGGAAGCAATCTATGCCCTGTATTTTAATAACACACATAACATAGACGTTTCCTGAAAGGGGAAAAAACTCCAGAATGCTGCTTTAAATCCACATAGTCAATTTAAAAAAATAAAAACATTTTGCACTTTTCAGTAACCTGATGATTGTTTTCTTCACTGAATTCTGTCAGAATGAGCTCCGTGCGTGATCCTAAAGACAAGACTGTGTGGGCTCAAACAAGCCACAACATGAAAATACTGTAATGAGATAATTTTGTGGTGACACGGCAGTGACACGTTACCAGACGCAAACACGCCACTGTCACACTCACGCAGCCTGCTTATCATTCAAACTACAGGGGTGGCTCGAGATGAAGGAAGCAGCCGATCCAGCCAAAGTAGAGGGATAACAGACATCTATTAATCTTACCTCCTCTCCTGTCAGGTAGTACGCCGAGAGCAAGCCGCCGACGTAACGGATGTTCACCTCAAAGAGCGATGCCTCGCCGTTCTGTCGAAAGCAAGAAAGAGAGATCAAATTGTAGAGTGTTATATTTCAGTAGAGGCCCAAGTCAGGTAAAGAAGCTTTTCAGTAAGAGAAAATAAACAATCTGAAGACGTGAATTGGATTTCTCGCTCAGCTCGTCCCGTCACTAGGTTTTGGAAATCTCCAGGGCGCACAGCAGCCCAGATGTGTAGATCAATATTTCACGCAACACTGAGTGAAGTCTTGGAGATGTATGCCAACGTAAATAATATTTATCACATCCAGATGTTCTGATTTGCATTTCATGGTTGTTCTCCGTGTTTAAAGATGCATCAGGTGGTGTAAAACAAGAGAAGGAAGACTTCGTCTAACAATGCTTCTGTTTTTGCTCCGTGTTTTCCTTTTATTTTATTATTTATTTAGTTAGTTTTAAAAAAGTAAAAAAAAATAAAAACATTCAGTTCGCAACAGTTCAGAAACAAAGGAGATTGGTGACGCATAAACTGAAAATTTAACATAAAAATACCAAAATAAAAGATATCTAAAATAAATGGGAATTTTAAATCAAATATCTAACATTACATGATCATTTTTACATTATTATCACTTTCATATTTAACAGATTTTACCCCAAATGAATAAAAAAATAAACTTGTTTGCTCTCTTTTCTTTACTCTGGTGTGGACATTAAAGTAGCAAATATGTTCTTTCTTCAACAGTAACCGAATATCAAACTTCTCTCTGATGATATCTGTGGTTACAACCAACATTTCTGCACCGTGTTTTACTGACAATGTTTTAATGTTCCTCTAATTTCAGCTAAATAGTGTCAAATGTCTCATATTTAAACAAAGGAATACATTTGCACTGGAACGTCGACAGGACGAGATGGAAGGTGGAACTTTTTGTCAAAATACAAGGAAGCAAAAAAGAAGAAAAACAAAGAAAATAGAAAAAATAAGAAAAAAAGGAAGAAAAAGAAATAAATAAACAAGGAAAAAATGTATTCAATGCAAAAAAAATTTTTAAGAAATTTACTCATGTTTTATTCATGATTTCCCTTCTTAGATCAATTTGCTGAGTAGTAAATAATTTATAGCAACAAGATGCCATAAATAGCATCAACTGAAAATATACAATTCTGCTCATATTACTGGATGATTATGTCAAACTGTTGACTAGTTTTTTAAAATCCTAAAACACAGACAGAATAAAAAAACTGAAATTCATTTTCTAGATATTTTTAAATAAAAAAAGAGTTTTTAAGTGATATCATTCTAGTAAAACATTTCTAAAATGTCCGTTTCTGGCATATCTGAAGAAATCAGTGCTGGCATTAAACCATTGTGAGCAAAACCTTCATTTAATAAACCTTATTTTTATTTTTCTAACCAGAATCTCTACAAATGTTCCTGGAATCAGTGACAGATGTTTAAGCACAAATGAATTTTAACAGATGCTGTGTGATATTACTCTAACCACAAAGTGATGCCTTACCACGTCCAATTTTAATAAAAACAGCCAAGAAAAGTAATGTTCCATCTACTAACGTTTCAATAACTTTGTTGGATATTCCAAGGGCGTCAGTTTGTTTTCAGAATTGCTGGGGACAATAACCATACACTTGAGTGGGGTTTAAAAATTGCTGGGGACAATAAAGTAGGCTAGCACAGGGGTCGGCGGCTCTGGAGCCGCATGCGGCTATTCCATCCATCTGATGCGGCTCTCTGTGTTTGTAAAATAATGAATGGATATTTAAATAAAAAGCTTTATATTTTACTGCATTAATTTTACATCTGTATGCCAATTCTAAATGTAAAGATTGTCAGCGTAAACCTGAACAGGTCCAACCCGGTCTTACTGTGAGACCGGGTTGACGCGTCACGCTTGTGCGTAATCATATGCGCTTCCTGAGCTGGAGGATGTCAGATTCTGGGCTTCTCCTCAGACAGGTTCCTGGATGCGTCGCCACATTGGAGACAGGAACAAGCACTATTCAGCCAAAGTTTCATAATCAGGTGTGGCAGTGTGAGGGTCCTGTCACAGTGTCCCGATAGATCATGCGCCCTGGCTACTTGGCCAAGGGGATGTCCCTTTGGCTGACTGGTTAGAGCGTATGACACTCACCCGGGAGTCTGGGGATCGAATCCCGCCCGGGCCCTCGTTTCTCCACCTTGCCACATATTGACGGATAAACTCAAGGATGTTGGTTGTTTTGAAAGAATTACCCCGACTCACACTAATGCGCATGGATGAGCTGACATTTTAATCGTTAACGCACATCGCGGAGGTAACTTGATTCCCATCAGAACATCAGAGCTTTATACTGGACACTGTGTTCAGCGCGGCTCGGAGCGCCCACGGTGGACAGTGGGCTGAAGATCTGAGGGGTTTGCAGCGCAGTGCAGTGCAGAACCACGGTGCATGCGATGATTTCCTCCCACTGAAGCGGTCTGGAAAGCCGGTCTCTCTGAGGGATGTGTCACTTGGAAAAATTTTCTTTTTATGAAATTATTAAACTTTGGCTGAACAGCGCTTGTTCCCGTCTCTAATATGGAGACGCATTACGCATCCAGTCTGAGGCAGAATAGCTCTTCAGCTCAGCAAGCACCTGTAGAGACATTTGATCATGCACAAAGTTCATGTGGAGCAGAAGCGGTCGGGCCACGGCAGGTGAAACGTTCCTAGCCTACATGAAGTGAAACTGTTTAATTGTAACATTAATATGTTACTGGACATGCTGGTCTGGTTGGTTAGACCAGTGTTTGAAGTGGAAAACACACACACACACACACACACACACACACACACACCAATTAAAATAATGCTGATAGCGTGGACTAGAAGCCAGGTGATGGTTTACGTATTTAAATGATGATCAGGCTGCTGTAAAATGTAATCTCCATCCACATCCAGACACAATTATCCTCTATTCTTTCTCTAGTTGCTCTGCTCTTGTCTGGGCTGACGTAGCTGATGGTGCGCGCGACGCGCCTAACTAGCGGCTGATGCACATTTTATGCATTTGGAGAGGTGGGCTGGATGCTGTGCGTTTACTGGAAGATGGTCCACTTAACGCACAGGTGTAGACTACATATTAATGACAAATGAATGAAAATTAAATTGTGAGTTTTTACTTCATATTTTAGAAATAAAAATGACGGGGAACACATTTATGACGTATTTTTAAACTAAATTTTCTAGCGCGACCTGCCTGCTTCACTTAAGTCACTGCTTATTAAGGTCCGTCCAGAATTACCGTGGCCCAACCAAAAATGAAAACCTGGCGCCGCGCCTGTTATAACCTCTGCAAATTGTTGTTCTTCACTTGATCAAACTCAGACTTTGTACAGCTAATGTCAAGATGTAAAATTATGAATTCAGTCGAGCTCTTCCGTCCCTCCCTCTCCTGCTCTCCTGGAAACCCGACATCGGCTGTCAGAAGTAGAGGTGAAGAAGGAGATGAGGCAAACAGAGTGAGTGTGACGTAAAGAAACCAGACTGGTGTGGAGGTGAGCAAAACAGAAGGAAAAGTGTGGGTGTTGAATCCCCCACAGGTGCGACGTCCATGCGAGCGACCGGTACCGGCTGCTGTCACCTGGTTGTGAGCAGCGCTCTGCTGTGAGGGTAGGCCCCGCCCACAACGCTGTGGCTCCCAGTGTTTTCTTTACTGTGGGAAACGGGTAATAATGGCTCTTTGATGGGAACAGGTTGCCGACCCCTGGATAAGATCTGAGCTGGTAAAACAAAAATCCTCATCAGCAGGCTTTTTTTAAAGTGGGGGTGACACAGCTGCCAATCACAAATTTTGCCGGGGACATGTCCCCGGCGTCCCCGGTTAAAATGACGCCTATGGGATATTCCTAGTTTTGTTTGATTTGTCAGTGTCGCTATGTTCTGACGTATGTTTATAATTTAAATTCTTCTATTTCCATATTAAACCTCATGAATCTCATGCATAAGCCGAGATATGCGTAAGAAGTTTGATTAAATTAAATTCAGTCCTCATTTCTTAAGGATATTTGTCCTCTTGTCTTTATTCTCTGTGGAAATTTAAAATCTTCCGTCGAATTTTAGTGAAACAAACTTAGTGCTTTAGTTGCTGTTTGCCATAGTGTTTGTTTACAAAAATGTTCTTAATAAAATAAAATACTGTTGACTGAACTCCTACTGTAGCCTCTAAAGTGCAGCTTTCCAGGTAGTAGATGGCATTGGGACTATAAGCTCATTTATCTAACCTACAACCATGAAAATTAGCAGCAAATAGCCTCACAGAGTATTTTAAAGCTGCTTTTCCATTGATCAAATGACCCAGTAACACTTTTGAGTGCAGCACAAAAGTGTTATTTGGCTTTCAGTCTGACATTTAAAAAAATAAAAATAAAACAGCAGTGCAGGAGCTGAAAAGCTCTGCAGCCGAGTTTGAAGTAGCTGGGGATGAAGATCTGCATCACCAAATTGGGAGGCTATGGTCCTCAATTGGAAAACGATGGACTTCTGTTTCCAGTTAGGATTGGGCCTCTGATCCAATTGGAAAAGTTCAAGTATCTAGAGTTTTTATTATTGGAAAGGGTTCAACTGGACATGAGGACTGGGGCAACATCTGCAGTGATGCTGGCAAAGAGAGAGTTGGGTTTAAGGGTAAACTTGTGGAATAAACCAACTGATCCATGACCAAATAGAAATTGGAAATACAAGCAACTGAAATGAGTTCTTCCCTCAGAGTGGGTGGACTCCCCACCAGGTAAGTAGCTACGCTAATTGGGAGGAGCTCATAGGTGAGTTGCTAGCCTGGCAAGCCTAGCCTAGTGAACTAGACCAAATTCTTGCTTTGCAAAGTTTGGTCTAGGGACGCGTCATTCGAACCTCCGCAGTCCCAGCAGCATTCTGGATGGCCAATCACAACTCTCTATAGAGGTTTCAATCCTATGGGGCCAATCACAGTGCTCTATCTGCTTTGTGGGCCAATCAGGGCCCTCTATTCATCTGGTGGGTGGGTTGATGCAACAGAGTGAAACAAGATG